ACTGAACGAATGAACAACAACAATACTAAATGCACTGTTGTCAGATATGAAGTCCATGAAACACCTCTTCTGAAGTAGCGCATGCCTTGACTTGAAGCACACATGTCGAAAAGTCACGATTCACGGGAAAAATCTGGCCCATCATGTAATTTTCTGTGGCTTTCCAGGTGTTGGATTATGTCTCCTGTATTCCACATCATTAGACCAGAGCTGATGGGAATGGGAATACAATAACACCTGGAAGGCTGAAGTTTGTTCTGTTTGGTCAGGATAGTTGGGTTTGGGTTGAGATACAAGGCTTGTGGATATGATGTCTGACTTTAAAATGTCTTCTAACCTTTCCCCACCTCAGAGTCACAAGTGCTGTTGGGTGACAATTCCCATTATCCCCAGTTTAAATGGCAGATAATCAAAAGTGATGGGAGTTCTCATTCAATAAAATCTGGGGACTCAAATTGGGTAAAAACTAAAGAGCACCAACCACTATGTAAAAAATTATAGTTGGCTGCCTGATTCCACAGATTGTGTAGCTTGCTGTCAACCTTTTTGGGTCATTACGGTCTTTGCCTGGCTTCAAGATGGCGATGACTCTTGCTTTCCTCCAGATTTTGGGGATCTGACAGGATGCAGTGCAGTTGTTCATCAGCTCCAGCAGCCAGCGCCTTGCTTTTGAACCAAAGTTCTTGTTTGTTCCATCCGTAGATCATCCAGGCCAGCTGCTTTGCCATTTTTACATTTATTGAGAGCCATGTCCAATTCAGTAGATGTAAAGGGTTCATGAAGGTTGTTGTTCTCAATCTCTGGTTGTCTGGCTATTGGTTTCTTTTCTACTTTGGTGGCAAAGTTGGGTTTCCCATTCTTCAAGAGTTGGTGTGCTATCTGGTCTGCCTTTATGTTGGCATGGGTATTAGTTTGTGAGGGGTCGTTGCTCAACCGTCTCAGCAGCCTCCACACCTTCTGGCTGCTCCTGCCCATGTCGACCTCTGTGATCAGCTTGATCCACCTTTCTTGGCTTCAGAGATAGAGGACACAATGCTCTGCGCTGCTTGAAGGGCTTGCTCACTAAATGGGTCTTTGTTGACTGGATAATGATTGGTAATGAAATGTGGAGGACTTATTGTTTTTTATTATGTTTTATTGATGTTATTTGTAATGATTTTTTTATCTATGTTAAATATTTTTAATGTTTAATTATCTTTGTATTGTTGTGGGCATCGAATTGTGCTGTTTTGTAAACCGCCATGAGTCGCCCTTGGGCTGGGAATGGTGGTATAGAAATATAGTAAATAAATAAAAAAAATACTACTTTAACACACAAGATTATCCAAAAACTTCAGGGAAAACAGAAAGTTGTGTTCTCTTGACAACAGTAATGCTAGGGCAAAAACACCTTAATCCATCACCACTCTGTTTTTGGGCTCCAGTTGTAATTAGGGCCATTTCTCCTAACTGTGGTTCTAGTATAACTTCTAGAAAAGTACTAAAATCATCCTGACTTTTAGGGGAGGGGGAAGTGGCTACTCCTCTACTCTTACCTGCTTGCTTAGGAGATTTCACCAAAGTCCCTTTAACTGTCCGGCAATGGGAGTTGTCACCTCCGCAAACACCACACTTGTCATCCTGCTTCAGAGACCCAATTTCTTTATCACAACCAACATGCTGTGATCATCACAAGGAAAAAGAACACAAAGAGAATGGACACTGTGATTAAATTTCAGAATGGTAACTTCATCAACAGATTTTAATCCGCCACCAGCAATTATACAGTTTATTTGAGAACACAGAAATGCTGGACCACTCTCACAACCACCATGTCAGACTACACAGAGAAGCCACTGAAATCCACAAGCACGTGGACAATTTCAACAGAAAGGAGGAAACCATGAAAATGAACAAAATCTGGCTACCAGTATTAAAAAACTCTAAAATTACAACAGCAAAACAACAGAGAGTAAACAATCAGGCACATCAAATCACTCTCAACAAAAGATTCCCCCCAGGCACTTCCAAGCCATTAAATGCTAATCAAGGTGGTCAGTTGAAACATTCACACCTAGCTCCAGCAGACAAAAGTCCTTTGTCCCACCCTGGTCATTCCACAGATATATAAACCCATTCCTACTTCCAACAGACCTCACTACCTCTGAGGATGCTTGCCATAGATGCAGGCGAAACGTCAGGAGAAAATGCCTCTAGAACATGGCCATATAGTCCGGAAAAACCTACAACAACCCAGTTCAGGACTATTCTTTTTCATGCATTTATGGAAGCCCTGATACTAATCAGTCAAGTCTCCTTGATACACTAAGACCCATGCCTGAAACCAAATATGACATTTAATCACCACCTGGCAGTCTTGACTTTGGAAAGAAAATATAGAGGCCCCTTCTACACTGCCATATAAAATCCAGATTATCTGCTTTGAACTAGATTATATGGCAGTGTAGACTCAGATAATCCCGTTCAAAACAAATGTGGATTATCTGCTTTGATAATCCAGATAATATGGCAGTGTAGAAGGGCCCTAACACTACAAAAGATGAAACAAAATGTTTAACAATACTGTCAGATATGCACACATCATATACGAGTATACTTCAATAATGTTTACAACTGGGTAGGAACATATTATCAGACTATCAAATAGAAAATAATCCTTAAAATTAAGATCTTTCTATTATCCTGGCCACGGTGGTCCATGCTCTGGTTACATCCCAAATAGATTACTGCAATGCACTCTACCTGGGGTTCGGAAACTGCAACTAGTCCAATGGGCAGCAGCCAGATTGCTCACTGGAGCATCGTACAGGGAGCATACCACTCCCTGTTACATCAACTCCACTGGCTGCCGGTCCATTTCCGAGCAGAATTCAAAGTGCTGGTCTTGGCCTATAAAGCCCTATATGACTCCAGCCCAGCTTACTTGTCTGAATGTATCTCCCTCTACGTTCCACCTTGTAGTTTAAGATCTGTTGGGAGGACCTGCTCTCGGTCCCACCAACTTCGCAAACAGCTGGTGGGGATGAGGGACAGGGCCTTTTCGGTGGGAACCCCCAGCATGTGGAATTCACTCCCCAGCAAAATTAGATCAGCACCCTCCCTCCTTTCTTTCAGAAGAAAACTGAAGACGTGGTTGTGGAGCCAGGCTTTTGGCTAATGGATATAACGGCACCTGAACAGTGAATTGGACCAGATGACGATTGTTATAATGGAAATGTTTTTATGATTGTTAATTAATGTTGTTTTAATGTGCTGTATGGTATGATTTTATTCTGCTTTTATAATTGTAAGTTTTGCGGCATTGAATCATTGCCGTTGTGAGTCGTTCTGAGTCCCCCTGCAGGGGTGAGAAGAGCGGGGTAAAAATGATGTAAAAAAATAAATAAATAAATTAGAGTGTTCATTTCTTTATATATATATTTTGAAATAATTTTTATTAGCAGAATTTAACCAGGCACCAATGACAAAAAGAAAAAGGGAAAAAACTACTTGTTCTTATACAATGCAAGTGGGAAAACAAAATAATTGTTTAGAAAAAAGAGGAAACATTGGTAGAGAACAGAAGTTAAAAATTGTGAGGAAGAGAAAAAAGAAAAAGAAAAAAAGTTTGTTGACTTCCATCTTCTCTTCAGTGGTCATTTAAACTTTTTTTATTTTTACTTTAAAATCAAAACATAATCCTTATTCTTCCCCGGTATCTCTTGTATTCATTTCTTCTAGCAATCGCAGTTCTGGTTCATCAACAGCCTGCTAAAAGTATTAAAATGGCAAAGCAGATGACCATTACCACAATTATAGTGTATGTGGTGCGAATTAACTGCCGCCACAGACAAAAAGCCAATGTGGTTGGATGGCCTTGGGTCTTGGTTTTTGAAGGAGCAATGTCGACCCATTAATTCAGTCATGAACTTTTTGGGAAGCCATGGACAAATGCATTCCCACAGGGATTGTATTCTTGTCTGCAAAATGGCTAGAAAAAGAATGAGAAAGACTTACTCTATTGGGGATGAAAATATATTTTTTTCCAACTCTCTTGGGGCCCTTCTACACAGGCCCTAAAGTGCAGACTAAACCAGAATAAAAGTGGGGGGGGGGGGGGGGCTAAATGACGTTTGCTTAAAATGTGCACTGGATTGCATTAATGACCGCAAAACATGTGTGCTTAAAATCCGATTTCATCCAAAAAATGTGCATATTTGCATCACTCCACTCAAGAAAAACACAGGACTTCCTTGTGATACACTAGGGTGGACTGCTCCAGTGCATGTGGGCATTTTATAATCCTGAAACAGCTGTAAACAAATGGTGCCACGGACATACAGGTGGCTAAATAGAATCACAGATGGAAAGCAGCTCCCATGGAAACTCCCTACAACCATTCCTTTGTTCTATGTTTATGAAATTAAACAGAGCTTGAATTTATACAGTGAACATCAGCATGTCAGGGAAGTGATCCCAAAGGAAAATGGGGTTCAGAGGGAAAAAGTAAAGGCAGCAAGAGGGTGAGGAGAGATAATGACAAGAAATCTGCTTGTGTGCACATTCAGATATCTGCACCAGCGCTTATGAGCTCCAGCACATCTCAGAGCGTCAATTTTAAAAAAGTAAAGGCTACAACAGTCAATTAGGTTCTATCAGCATCTTGAAAGACATCTCCTTTCTGCTTCGAAAAAAATTAAAAATGGATGAACCTAAAGGTTCGTTTACATACCACACACTCCCCCCTCACACAAACACTGTATGGGTCTCTATAGCTGCACCTGGTGCCATCGTGAACGACTTGATTCATAAATACCACATCTCCAGTCTCCTCAGACTGGCAAATCAGCTCGCATTTCTGGGCATCTGCAGGAAAACAAAAAAATAGAAGAAAATGTTCTGTTTATTGATATTTGAGACAAAAATGGGACTCCGCATTTTCATGGTCAGTGTTCTGAGGAGGAAAAATTTAGTTTCTGGATTTCATACTATTGAGAAATACTTCTAAAAGGCTTCGTGTTGTTGTTTTTTATTGTCAGAGAAAGTAATCACCTCAAATTTCCCCTGCTTGAAAACCAAAATCATAGAACCATAATTATGAAAAACTGCTTCATAAATTAAATGAATTTGTCAATTCATTTTATTTTATTTTTATTCTATATACTGAGAATTTTCTATAGCTTTATTCATGCATTAACATATCCATTGTGTACTATACAACCATGTAAGCCACCCCGAATCCCCGTTGGGGGAGATGGTGGCGGGGTATAAATAAAGATTATTATTATTATTATTATTTTATTTTTATTATTATGTTGTACATCAATCATTGTTTAGGGCCGTGATAGTTCAGGGGTTAAACCACTAGCTGCAGAATATCCGCTGACCAGAAGGTTGGGAGTTCAAAGCTGTGAGTTGGGGTGAGCTCCCAATTGTCAGCCCAGCTTCTGTCAACCTAGTGGTTTGAAAGCATGCAATGTGAGTGGATCGATAGGTATCGCCTCGGCGGGAAGGCAAAAGAGAACCACATGCAAATATGCAGACATACCAGCAACACAATCAGAGTTATCTATGGACAACAGGCATGGAAAAATTGAACAAGAGCACCTCCCATGGCCGGAGTTGAGCATCACCTCCAGACGCCAGAGATAGAAAAAGGGGAAGAACATCTTTGTCTGTGTTGTATGTGGTTGTTCACTGGGTGAATGTTTGCCTCATATGTGTATAACTGTAATCTGCTCTGAGTCCTTCCAGGGAGATAAAGCAGAATATAAATACAGTGTATTATTGTATTATTATTACAAACCAATGGGGAAGATCTGTGGTGGGCGCAGATCTGTTCCTAGATTATATACTGATTTCAATGCATGATCTAGGAACAGATCTGCACTCACCACTACTCCAAAGTCATATATAATAGCACCTTTTCTATGCCTTCAGGGCAAATATCTAAAAGGGCATGCAGTGTATCACATAACAGTAGGAGTAATATGTGATGCCAGGTCAAATCACTCAGAATTACTTAGCATGAACACATGTCAATTTCATTGTGTACACTACTATTCTTTATATAAGGTTACTGTGAACACTCTGGTATTAATAAGAATGGAAACTGCAGTCAAAAAAGAAGAAAACTAGGACTTGGAAAAGCAGCTAAACAAGATCCTGAAGTGTAAAGATATATCATTGAATACTGAAGTTAGGATTGTCCATGTCATTATATTCCCCAGTTTTTGTATAATTGTGAAAGCTGGACAGTGAAAAAAGCGGATACGAAAAAGATCAACTCATCTGAAATGTTGTATCAGAGAACAGTTCTATGGATATTGTTGATTGGGCCCTCAAGAAAGTCAAGCCTGAACTCCCCTTTAAGCCAACTAAGAGCTGACATTGGATGTATGATTTCAACGAGATATGTACCATATTTTAGCTATTTAACTACTGTGGAGAATCTTAACTGCTTAGGAGTTCATGCCCATAATTTCTGATGAGATACTAAAACTTTTGTCAATACAGAATGTTCAACTCAATCTATCTGCCAGGACCAGAAAAGTTGCAGCCCTACCCATGTTGGACTATAGCTCCCATCAATCCAGACCACTGGACATGCTGGTTGTGGTTGATGGAAGCAGGACCCTAACAAATCATAAGTCATATACTGTAGTCCCTTTGGCACAAATTAAAGCCCCTTCTACATGACCATATAAAATCCAGATTATCTGATTTGAACTGGATTATATGGCAGTGTAGACCAATATAATCCAGTTCAAAGCAAATAATCTGGGTTTTATATGTCAGTGTAGAAGGAGCCGTATGCTCTGGGCCCATTAAAAAAATCCTGTATTCTAAATGTCTTGGTAACTTACCATCGTGGTGTTCATAAGGAAGCCAAGTGTGCTTCGAGCTTTGGTGGGTGTAATAGGAATTTCGCTTGGAACATTGCTGGGCCCGAAAATCCTCATAGGGACCCCGGCAATCTTCTGTATTGCAAACCTGATATTCATAGGTTGCACCTGGGCAATGACGGCCTCCATAGGCTGGTCTGGAAAATATACAAAAAACTGGTCAGGAAAGTGAATGCATATTCCTCTGCCAATCTAAAAAAAAAAAAAAGACTTTCAGTTTAATTCTAATGACAGACTCAATGTTTCTTTAATTTTTAAAAAAGGGTTTGTAGCCTTTTCTGCAGCCAATCCAGGGTCTGGAAAAGGAGGATATGCTTTAGACCAGCGTTTCTCAATCTGGGGGTCAGGACCCCTGGGGGGGGGGTCGCGAACGGGTGTGAAGGGTCATCAAAGACCATCAGAAAACAGCATTTTCTGTTGGTCATGGGGGCGTTTTTATGGGAAGTTTGGCCAAATTCTATCCTTGGTGGGGTTCAGAATGTTCTTTGATTGTAGACGAACTATAAATCCCAGCAACCACAACTCCCAAATGTCAAGGTCTATTTCCCCCAAACTCCACCAGTGTTCAAATTTCGGCATATTGAGTATTTGTGCCAAGTTTGGTCCAGATCCATCATTGCTTGAGTCCACGGTGATCTCTGGGTGTAGGTGAACTACAACTCCAAAACCTAAGGTCAGTTCTCACCAAACTCTTCCAGTATTTTCTGTTGGTCATTGAAGTTCCGTGTTCCTAGATTGGTTCAGTTCCATTGTTGGTGGAGTTCAGAATGCTCTTTGATTGTAGGTGAACTATAAATCCCAGCAACTACAACTCCCAAATGACAAAATCACCCCACCCCCCAACCCACCAGTATTCAGATCTGGCCATATTTGCCAAATTTGTTCCAGTGACTGAAAATGCATCCTGCATATCAGATATTTACATTACGATTCAT